GCATGGTCTCGATCTCCTGACCTCGTGATCCGCCCATCTCGGCCTCCCAAAGTGCTGGGATTACAGGCTTGAGCCACCGTGCCCGGCCCCTTTACTTATTTTTGACACATTACATTTGGATGGAAAAAACAGTTGTTGAAGGTGTGCCTGTTTCTGTATGTAAATATGAACACGTGTAGACTGTAAGCCTTTAGTTTTTTTATTTTTATTTTCTTGGACGTTGTTTTCTAGTTGTTACCAGCTACAAGCCTTTCTACTAAAGAAAGGCAGGCCAGACGCGCTGGCTGACGCCTGTAATCCCAACACTTTGGGAAGCTGAGGCAGGTGGATCTGAGGTCAGGGGTTCGAGACCAGCCTCGCCAACATGGTGAAACAGGGTTTTGCCATAGAGATGGTGTTTTGTCATGTTTGTCAGGCTGGTCTTGAACTCCTTACCGCAGGTGATCTGCCCGCCTGCAGCTTCAGTCATCTTAGGTACATAATGAAGTTAGCGATAACACACATGGCTGGTGGCTACTGAATTGTTCTGTGCAGGTCTGAACTGCCTTCTGGTCATATTGGGGGGTAACAGCATCCACAGGAGATCAGGCTATAAGGACAAATATCAGACTAATTATTAGGGTTATTTGAATGTAGGATTTTTTCAGTATTAAATAGAAGTAATGAGCCAGGCATGGTGGCTTATGCTTCTTACCCCAGCACTTTGGGAGGCCAAGGCAGGAGGATTGTTTGAGCCCGGGAGTTTGAGACCAGCGTGGGCAACCTGGTGAAACCTTGTCTCTACTAAAAATATAAAAAATTAGACCCAGTGGTGAAGGGGGCCAGCCCCTCCACACCTGTGGATATTTCTCATCCGGTGGGATGAGAGACTGAGAAAAGAAATAAGACACAGAGACAAAGTATAGAGAAAGAACAGTGGGCCCAGGGGACTGGCACTCAGCATACAGAGGACCCGCACTGGCGCTGGCCTGTGAGTTCCCTCAGTATTTATTGATTATTATTTTTACTATCTTAGCAAGAGGAGTGTAGCAGGGCAACAGGTGGGGAGAAGATCAGCAGGGAAACATGCGAGCAAAGGAATCTGTATCATGAATAAGTTCAAGGAAAGGTACTGTGCCTGGATGTGCACATAGGCTAGATTTATGTTTCTCTTTACCCAAACATCTCAGTGTAGCAACTGTCTCTTATACACATCTAGATGTGTATAAGAGACAGGGTCAATCTTTTAAACAGGGTGTCGCCGGTCTCGAACTCCTGGGCTCAAGCGATTCTTCCGCAGTACCTAGGACTACGGCGGGGTTATCTTTGTAAATACGTTTATATCCCTGCCGAGGGTTGAAGAAACACGGAGAAAATCCTGCAGAAAAGAATTTCCCTAGGGTGGTGGCTCAGGCCTATAATCCCAGCACTTTGGGAGGCCAAGGTGGAAGGATCACTCGAGCCCAGGAGTTCCAGACCAGCCTGAGTAACACAGAGAGACCCTGTCTCTACAAAAAAATAAAAATAAAAATAAATTAGCCTGGTGTGGTGGCACACACCTGTGGTCCAAGCTACTCGGGAGGCCGAGTGGGGGAGGATCCTTTAGGCTCAGGAGTTCGAGATCAGCCTGGGGAACATGGTGAGACCCGAGTGTCTAGAAAAAGATAAATTAGCTGGGCGTGATGGGCGCGAATGTGGTCCAAGCTACTACGGAGGCCGAGGCGGAAGGATCGCTTCAGCGCAGGAGTTCCGGGCTGCAATGATCTATGACCGCGCCACTGTATTCCAGACAAGGCGGCAGACCGGTGCCTTATCTCAAAAAACTAAAAAGAAAAAGAGAAAAAGAAAAGTACTCGATGAGCACCCCGCTCTCAAAAAACTAAAAAAGAAAAAATAAAAATAAAAGCACTCGATGAGCATCCCGCTGCCTGCAGTCCAAGCCTTGGGTGACGCCTCCACGCAAGCCCCGCTCCCTGCGCCGGTCCCCGCCTCCGACCCGGCCTTTGGCTCTGGGTTTCCTGGCCAGCGTCGTTCCCAATATCGACAGATTGATCTGGATCCTGGTCCACCCCGGATGCGAGAAAACGGGACTTTTCTGTCCGCGTGTCGAAGAGGCTGCCCCAGCTCTTCTCTGCACTTCACATCATCCTCATTCCAGAGCCGTTGGGGTTCGGCCCCCCTTATGCTTAACGCGGTGCGCAACCGGAAGCGGAAGTGCGAGACGGTGCGCCGCCATACGTAATGCGCGCTCTCCAGGCGCTTCCTAGCTGGGTTTTCACTTCAGCCGGCGCTCAAGCTCAACCTAGGCAGGGCGGGGCAGGAGGGCCTAGCGGGAGGCGAAGTGAGGGTCAGAGGGCGCCGCTCCGGGCTTCGGCCACGTCTGAGACGCGCCGGCCTAACGCGGCTGCTCTGGGGAAGCGGCGCCTCCTCCCAACCAGGACCAGGAGGCGGAGGTTCTCCCCGCCTGCTCCTCGGAGCGCGTCTTCCCGCTGCGCCCGCACCAGTCTGGGCCTGGCCCAGGGTCCACGGTGGAGGCGTGTTTTTTTCTCCAACCACCGCGCCCCCTCTGTTTAAAATCAGCCAGTCAACCTTTTTGCCCTTTCTCCAGAGGGAAAAGCATCTCCGCTGTTCTGGAAAAGGGCCCCAGCGCCCTCTTGTCACCGACCAGGCGATTGCCGTGCGTTCCGGTGAGCCCTGGACGGAGGAGATGCTCTGGCTGTTGGCGGGGGCGGGGGGCGGGCATCGCTTATTGAAATTTGAGAAATTGCTCAGCAGTTAAATGCTTTTTCAAGTGTGCAGGAGTTGTAGGTTTATAGAAATAAAAGCAAATATTGCCACAGTTGTAAAGCAAAATAGCAATACCCCGCTGGTTTTGAGATCAAAAGCAGCTGCACTTCCTAGGTCTGTACCTCCCAAAGAGCTTCAAAACGGAGGGGCTTCCAGGAAGTAGCATGCAGCCTTCATTATGCCAGTATCAGAAGTTACAGCTGTATTAACTGTGAGAGAGACATGTTTTGTTTCGGTGTTTTTCCCCTCGTGTGTGTGTGTGTGTGTGTGTATGTGTGTATATATATATATATATATTTTTTTTTTTTT